GAATTGAGAGGATTGACTTTTCCTCTCAATATTCATAAAGTGTTCATAGTGTTCTTGAATGATAAATCCATGAATCTGCCATTGAAGGAAGCTTAATATGAAGATTGATCAGTGATTGTGGACACACAATTGGTATCAGAGCTGGAATGCAAGAAATCAGAGGAAGATTATGAAGATAAGTGAATTTTTTCTGGATTTTTTTGAATTTTTTGAATTTTTGTGTTCTTAATTTTTTCGTAAACCAGTGTTTTTGATCCATTTTTTTGTTAATTTTTTTTTCGTTTTTATGTTTTTAATTAGTTTTGATCTGTTTTTAATATTTTAGTTTTGTTATTTTTGTTAAATCATCTAATATCAAGATGTTGACCCAACCGGCTTAAGGCCCAACAGGCTAAAAGTGTTTGTTCATCAAAGCTTGGTCGGAGAAGAAGATCACCGCACACCACTTGAGCGGTGTTCATTTACACCGCACACTAYTTAAGAGGAGATGAGCGGAGAACGACCGGAGAGGTAAACCGATCACTTCTTGTATAGATATATTGAGCGATAAGCGGATTAAAGGTTAAACCGCACACATCTTGTGCGGACTGGATTTGATTAGGGTTTGATTGGATAAGTATCAAGATTCAACCAGATTCTAAAATCGCTCAAATCATCAGGTTTGAATTTTTTGATTTCATCAGGTTTAGACTTCTAATTTTTTGATCGGTTTATATCTAAAACCGATTACTTCTTGTCCGGTATCTTTGTATACCGATTACTTCATAAGCGGACTAGTGAGCGGTTTAGCAATCGATTTGATTAACCTTGAGCGGACTTCTAATCCGTTCAATTCCATTTGCTCAGAATTTTATTTTTTCAATATCTTGCAAGAATCGATTTTGTTTTTCATCAATTTGCTGCTGGTGAGGTTGAGTATTTCTAATTGTGTGCTGTTTAGACTGTTAACAGTTTTACATTCAAGTTGTCCGGATTAATATCATATAGTGCTGTCAGGTGAGGTTGAATTTTTTTTGTGAAAATCAAGTTCTGGTAACAGCAGGTTTATATTTTTGTCTTGACAGATTGAGTTACTTGAAGTGTTCTGTTTAACACTCTTAAGGTGACAGGTTCTTTACAAGATCTTAGAAGAAAATGCATAATTTGTTTGATTAACATCTTGGTTGGAATCACAAAAACATAGTTGATTGTAATATGTTTTTCAAGTGCGAGAGCAACATCATTGGAAAGCTAATTTGAAATAGATTCTGTCAAACAACAGCTGCTACAGAAGAAAGAAACAGCAACTTTTTGACAATAGGTTTTGTTCTATTGATTAAGTTCTATTGATTAAGTGTTGTAGCAGCAATAACAGTTGTTGAACTTGACTGTCTATTGATTGAGTTTAAAGTGTGCAACAAGTGGTCTGATATTCCTGTGTGTATATTAGCTCAAGTGTGTATATGTGAGACCAAGATGATGATGAACAGCAGGTCAGGATTGAAGCTGTTACATAGCTAAACAGCAAGCAGGTTTTCTAAACTGATTTGATACAGATTTGAAACAGAAGGTTTAAAACAGATTTGAACAGCAACAACAGATTTAAGAAGCTTCATTTTAAGACTGTGTTTGTTTTGTTTGGACAACAGTTTTTGCATTTGTTATATGTGTTGCTGTTTTTGAGTTTGTATTTCATTTTTTTAACAGCAATTGTGTTTGTTGTGTTAGAAACAGCAGGTTGACCATATGAGAAGCCAAGGGTGACAGCATTGAACCAGACAGCAGCAACATATTCAGCAAGTTCTTTGCAGATAGGAGTTTTGAGTGATTTAGCTGCAGTAACAAGCGTCACAGGTTTAAACTCAAGACAGGACTGTCTTTACACAGCAGGTTTAAACTGTTTTTACAAGTTTGAGCAGGCTTAACAGCAACTACATTTTGACAGGTTTAAATTGTTTTTACATGTTTTTGTTTTAAGCAGCTGTGTGCAATGTTTCAGCAGGTCTTGATTGTGGTCTTGATTTGTCAATAAGAACAGCAACTGCTTCATTTTCTGCAAGTAGCAGCAGCAAACAGTGTGCAGCAGCCTGTATTAAATATTTGTGAGGGTTTTACTGTTGAATGTACATTAAGTTCAGGTTTTGTGACTGTGTTTGTGGATTTGAGGACTGTCAAGACTAAAACAGTAGTCTTGTTCTTAATAGTGTGCAGGGCTGAAACAGCAGCTCACAGGTTTAAGTTGAATTTTAGTTGTTTGTTGAGACTGTTTTGATTTGAAGACTGCTGTTTTGTTCAATCTGACTGTTTTGACAGCATCTACACAATTTATTGTACCAATTGAGACATAAGACATTTGTGCTTGACTGTTTTGGTTTTGTTATTTTGACAGCAGCAGGATCTCACAGTTTTGATTGCTGATTTAAGTTTGAGCAGCAACAGTAACAGTTGAAAGCAGTTATTTGACACAAGTTGTTATTGCAAAAGTGACTGTTACGAGGGTGTGAGAAGTGGATCCATACTAGAAGCTTTCAAGTGGATTTTTGGATAGTCTTACGAGGGCAGATAGTATTTTTTTTGTTCCATATCTGTATTGTAAAAAAAAAAAAAAAAGTGGTTATTGTTTGTTTTGGACTTAGACTCAGTTTGATTTGGACTTAAAGTCAGAATTTTGGACTTGGATTTTTTTTTGACTGTTTTTGGTTTCTTAGATTGTTTGTGTTTATTTTTTTTGGATCATTGTACATTTGTTTTTGCGTGTGTTTTTCAGTGTTTGTGTTTTTCTGTTTTTTTTTAGCTTTAACTGTTCATATTTTTTTATCTGATTTCACTGCATAGATTCTTAACTGATCAATCTACTTTTGCAATGGCAGTTGTATCTGAATACTTCAGAGGAATAATTTTTGATCTAGAAAAGAGAGTTGAAGGTTATAAGGAGGAAGTGTTTCTAAATATTTTAAAGACACATTATAAAGACGAGTGTGAACGCATGGAGAAGGCATTTGAGTCTCGGTTTGAAGACTTCGCGAACAATATTCGTTATGTAGAAAACGATTTCACTGATAACCTGATCTCTTGGAATAAAGTGAATAAAGATACTTTTAATAAACTCAAAGAGATTAAAA